AAAGGCATGGGAGGTATTAGCTTACATCTTGAATTGCAAAATTTGCCTGGGGCAATAAGAGCCACCTGAGAAGTTCTCGGTTGGAACCTGTAACTCCAGACTTGGAAAGCAGCCAGGGCAGGCCGCAGAATGGGTTGTTTATCAGTATTTAATCTGGACAGGAGCAAGTCTTGGGTTAAACAATAGCTTTGATAATACTTGGCCCCAGAGGAAGGAGGGTGGTGAAGGTTATAAACGGAGACCGAGCTACAGGGAAGATGCTGTCCCTTGAGGAGAGGCAGAAGGTGAGTTTGGGCAGCGAAGGGAGGGGGCGTAGTGAGAAGAACTCCACCTAGAGAACGGGCCACTTGCTCAGTGTGTGTGTTCTCCTTAAATGCATGTTACGGTCATTGCATAAGGAGCGCACTGACCACCAGAGCTTTGTCTCAGGCATGGCCACTTTCTCCCATAAGGGGGAGGCATGAACAGTCTCCAGAGGCAGAAGAAACTTAGAGCTGGGGGAGCCAGGATGTCAGCCCCTAGCATCCCGTCAGTCACTGTGAACAGTCCTGTCCCTCAAACTGGAAACCAGCTGTAAGCCCACGCTCAGAAATAGGCCAGTTTTCCAAACCCTTTAAAGCAGAAGAGGGTGATTGTGGGGTCGTCACCTGCATCTTGACACTCTTAGCATCTGTTAGTAGTCTTTATGTCTTCTGGGCTATCTGCCTAGTATTTTAGGAGCTCACCTGAGGTTTCTTTTATCTTGAACATTATCTCCTATGCGAGGGCCTCAGGGAGTTGGGCAGCCAGTAGAACCAGCCGAGCAGAGAGCCTGGGACTGCCAGTTTTCCTCAACAAATTTGTTTCTATCATTTTTAATGAAAATCAGTCGACAAATCAAATGTGTTGAGAGATTTAAACTGGTTGAAGTTTGCAAATTGCAACAAACTTTGTAATTTCATTACCTAAATTTTTGTTGCTCTGGGCAGGGACAAACCAGATTATTACAGAAGAAAGCCTGTTTTTCATTCTTTACACTCACTGTGTGTGCCAAAATATCTCCTCTGGTGTTTGAGGATTAAAAAGATATATATAACCTACTCATTTCAGTGTCCATAAATTTAAAAACGAAAAAAAAAAAATGCTCGAGAAGCATAACTGTTGCTAGAGGTAAGCCTAGCCCCTGCGAGGAGTTTCATGACGTGGTGAGCACGTTCACAACACTCTTCCTATGGTCCCAGCATTTCTCCAAAAGCTGTTTCCCAAGAGGCCTGGCAGGAAAAGAAGGGGGGACAAGGAGGAGTCCAGGGCCCTGTGAAGAAAGCTCCACATGACCTCCGTGTGGTCTGCTTAGGCGCCATCACAAAGTGCCACAGACTGAGGGGCTTACACAACAGAAACTGGCCGCCTCACAGTTCGGAAGGCTGAATGAAGTTTGAAGTCAAGGTGTGGGCAGGCTCGGTTCCGCTGAGGCGTCCCTCCCTGGCTTGCAGGGGACGCCTGTGCCTCCTCCACGTGGTCTCCCTCTGTGCAGTCTGTGTCTTCAGTTTCCTCTTCTGAAGTCTCCAGTCGCAGTGCATTAGGACCCACCCTAATGACCTCATTTTACCTTAATGACCTCTTTAAAGACCCTACTCCCAAATACACTCACATCTTGAGGCCCTAGGGGTTAGGACTGCAGCACATGAATTTGAGGGGAACAGCTGAGCCCACAGCACCCTCTCTCCACCCCCTTGGCCACTTGGTGTCACAGCGCATGTAAGCATGTCACTTAAGAGGTCCTCACAAGTCATGATGACAATGTTTAACCCTGTGTTTCCCAAAGTTACCTAACAACAGAGCACTTTTCACCAAGACCACCTGTGAACATTCCACTGGTAACCCAGGGCACCCTGGCAAACGCTGGAGTTCACCCATGTGGAGGAGGCAGCAGCGTGACCAATGTGCTATCCCATTTGTAACCACTGGTCACATGTGGATATGTAAATTTAAATTAGTTAAAACTGAATTAATGAAAAATCAGTCCCCAGCTCACAACAGCTGGTGACAGTGGTGCTGTACTGACAGGGCAGATAGAGAACAGATGGTTGTCACGGGAAGTTCTGCGGGGTACTTCCTTTCTGGAACTCTTACCTTGCCTGCGGCTCCCCGGGGCTGTCTTGCACACGTCTGTGCTGTCTCCTCAGCCCACCAGAGACCATCTGCAGAGTGTCTGGGTCCCCTGCACAGTGTCCCCTACAGCAGAGTGCTCCCAGGTAAATTTGGCTAGAGCACAGTGCTGATAATACCAAGGTCAAGGGTTTGATTCCTCATACCCCAGTTGCCAAAAAAAAAAAGTCTGACAGACCACCACCTCCAGAACCCCCTGTAGCCTGGCTGAGTGTCGCCGGCCGGCCTGCCCAGGCCTCAGTGCAGACCTCTCTCCTGCAGCGGATCAGCACGGCCACGGGTGACGGCAAGCACTACTGCTACCCCCACTTCACGTGCGCCGTGGACACGGAGAACATCCGCCGCGTGTTCAACGACTGCCGCGACATCATCCAGCGCATGCACCTCAAGCAGTACGAGCTCCTGTGAGGGGCACCCGCCCTCCTGTCTGTCCCCAGCCCTGGTAGACCCAGTGAGTTCCTACTGTCACCTGTTGCACCCGGCCTGCTTGGTATCTGCCCCATGTGACCACCAAGCCTCTGGCTACCTCTGTCCCCCTCAGGTTTGGTTTTGTAGCTTTTGTTTTCCTTGAACACAACCTTCCTTTTATCCATTCATTCATTCATTCATTCATTGATTCTTCAAGGAAGACACAGTGGAGGGAAGATTCCGAGCTGCCAGGTGGGCGCGTGCACAGCGCTGGCTGCTCCATCTTCCCGTTCTGAAGCCACAGGTGAGGTGGCCGCTCCTTGCGATCTCACCGGCCTGAGACTTAGAGTAGACTCCAAATGGCAGAGTGAATAGAAACCCTTTTCACTCACACTTAGTCACTGCCAGCCTCAAGCATCTCAATCAGAGCTACTCTGAGCTTTTTACCACATTCACTACCGCAAAACGTGTACTGTCTAGAAATGATTCTCTCAACTTTAACTATATTTGGGCATAGTCTTCTTTCATATGTTCTTTTTGTTGTTTTATTGCTGGTTTATTATACTGTACAGACCACCAAATGTAATATTCTTTTGTATAACTACTAAAGAAAAATCCTTGTAGATCTTTGTGCCTTGATTATGGCTGTACCTGTAAAAGAAATGTGTTTTTATTGTGCTGAACAGCTTAATGTCAACATTACCTGCCGCTTACTCTGAAAAAGAGAATGAATGGTATTTGCAAAACTAGGGTATTTTATCAGGTTGGTACTTTATAAAATACTCCCTGATAAAAAAAATATATATAAACTATATGCATTGATTATCCACACCTAATGAACAACGTCACACCAACATCACGAGCAGTTGCAGACACCTGCCTTTGCTTCTCTGAGCCTCAGCTGCAGAACTTAAACTCAGTTCAAGGGTACAAACCGCAATCTAGTCTTCTTTTAGGGACCCAGGGATTTTTTTTCTCTCCAGACAAACATGCTTCATTATTATTTTGCTACTTAAAGAAACTTCAAGTTCCCTCACTGGGAACAGGTTACCATTCCCTTAGCCAAAGCTCTGGACACAGGCTCCATCATACAAGTTAACAAATAGCAAGAGAAAGACAAAATGGTGTGGAAGTTTGTGTCTGGCCTAGGAGAACAGGATGGTATCATCATTTGTCTTTTAAAGAAGGAAGATTACAAAATGTGTATTTGAAATATAAAGTCAAAATACATGGCTGTTTGGGCCGGCCCCGTGGCGCACTCGGGAGAGTGCAGCGCTGGGAGTGCAGCGCCGGAAGTGCAGCGCCGCTCCCGCTGCGGGTTCGGATCCTTATAGGACTGGCCAGTGCGCTCACTGGCTGAGCACCGGTCACGAAAAAGACAAAAAAAAAAAAAAAAAAATACATGGCTGTTTGTCACACCTGCAAGATTTGCAGCCTCAAAAGTTATGATACAGACAATACCTAGAAAGTAAGAATTGCTGTGGCTTTGAGGGTAGTTTTCATAGTGAAATTTCCAACAGTACAAATCCAGAGAAGTGACATGACAGCCTACATCACTTCATTAATTTCCTTTTAGTCTTTAGGTTTTGCTTAAATATTTTAAAGTTTATCTACAAGTCAGCATTTTATAATCCTTTATAAACTCATCCAGATTTAAATGCTACTTTTCCGTGAAAGATGACGATTTTACTGACAGTCGGTGCAACAAATACAGATTTATCTCATTACCACCGTCTTCTGCCCTCCTATCCTCAGCTGTTTCATAAAACTCTCAGTTGAACTGAGACGTATGAGGTGGAAATTATTTTCAGTTTCCCTTTCACTTTCACAGTAAAACATGAAGAAAACTGGAGACATATCCCCACCAAAAAAAAAGTGTAGAGGTTCACGTTTTTTGCCTTTGCCTACAACAAAGGCATTATTACTCAATAATTCCCCTCTAACTAAACATCCCATTTAAAAGCTTAATTTTAAAAAGCATAAGACTCTTAGGGAAAAAAAAAAAAAAAACAGAAAGAATACATTTTATCTGGCTTAAAATTATTTTAAAATTTATTTTTACATACCAAAAGCTACATCCTACTCCATTTTTCAAGCTTCCTTTGATCATTGACAGGCATTAAATTCTCAGATGCAATGACTTGGTCTCCTGTAAAGAAAATTATACTCATCTAAAAAAATTCTGATTCCATTAATTTAGCACAGAAGTACAAAAGTCCATGAAAACAATGTCCTTGCACAACTCATCTGTTCGTTTAAGTGTACAGCTTTCTCATATACAGGAATTTGAGAACCACTTCATAGGACAGAAGCACACCCAATGTCGATGTGCACACGTAATCTCGAGTGTGCGTCGGGGCTGCCAGGTCCCTCCTGGGGAAGCGAGGACGGTGTCGTGCACGCAAGTGGTGGCAGTAACAGCATTTATACTGTACAGATGCAGCCTTGAAGATACATGCATTTGATAAAAACAAGAAGACATTTGTTGTACAGCACATGTTCCGTCTTTACAGCATGAGAACAGTGGACTGTTTATCCTGCAGTAACTCACGTCAGGGACGTATTTCTGTGACGTGCCCCAAGGCAGCCCACGTCCGGTCCCGCTGTCCACTTGCCTCTCACGTGAACTCTGCCCAAAGCTCTGTTTCTTTGGTTTTGATATTTATTACTAAATGCAAAAGTCGCCCGCTCCTCACATTATCTTATGCTTTCTGAGCAGGTTCCAACCAAAATGAAAAGGTGATGCTAAAAGCTCTACGTGAGCTAAAATGAGGACGGCAAGGAGCCCAGCGGCTCCGCAGTACGTGATGAGAACCGTGTCCTCACGCGGGAGGTAGCACTTGGAGAGGGCGTGGTCTGTGGGCGTTAAGCTGCCCTGGAATAAACAGAAACGGGGAGTTACACTGCAGCCACAGCCCCTGACGCAGCTCAAAACGACAGAGGAAAGGCCGCCTCGTTGGGCTCCCTCAGGCGAGGAAGCAAAGTGACCCTCTTCACCTGGGAGCAAGGAACATGGCCTTTACCTGCACAGGTCACCACCGACCACACAGCACCAGCAAGAGAAGGAAGTCAGAGGCCAAGTGTGCCGGGTGCAGGAGGCCTGGGGCACGGACCTCTCCCTACCAAACCAACCCCTGGCACAGTGAGTTCCCATAAAATGGAGGGGGATGCACGGCAGAGGTTCAGAGGGCATCCTGGAGACCGAGGATCCGTGGTCAGCAGGAACAAGGAGTAAGAGGGTGTTTTCAGGCCACTTAAAACTGAAACAAGCAGGCTGCTAGCTCCAAATACATATGCCTGGGTTGCCTCCAGGGGCTTTTCTTTGTAGACATTTTTGCTGTGTGGAATGAGTCGCAAATGTTTTCATTTGCTTTGAATTTGAAAACGTTAGGGTTTCCCCTACCTTTTTAAAAGTACCTGACACAAAAGCATTATGAACCAGATGCAGGAATCCATGGCTAAAAGAAAGGAGCTAAAACGTCAAGCGGTCATTGAGACGATGTCTTTAATCAGCCCTCTAAAGCCATAGCGTTTTCTGCCAGGGCAAATGGGCATGTGTGGAAAATAAGAGAAGATGACTGAATACAGCTAATGAATAAATGATCTTGCTTCCTTAGACGATTAAACACACACACACACAGTGTAATCTCAAGAGGACACTGCTCTCCCCAAACACACACACACACACACACACACACTCTCTCTCTCTCTCACTCACTCACTCTATAATCTCAAGAGGACGCTGCTCTCCCCAAACACACACACACACACACACACACACTCTCTCTCTCTCTCACTCACTCACTCTATAATCTCAAGAGGACGCTGCTCTCCCCAAACACACACACACACACACACACACACTCTCTCTCTCTCTCACTCACTCACTCTATAATCTCAAGAGGACGCTGCTCTCCCCAAACACACACACACACACACACACACACTCTCTCTCTCTCTCACTCACTCACTCTATAATCTCAAGAGGACGCTGCTCTCCCCAAACGATGAAGGACTCTGAAAACGCTCCTCTCTTGCCCTCAGGTAACTGCCACCGCCCCGGGAGGAACGTTGTTGATTTGTTCCCAGAAAGGTCTTTAGAGAGGGGGCACTGGGGGGGGGGGGAATCTATTTATGGCTTTTGTGTATTTCTACAGATTGCAGCAATTAAATAGTTGATTACTGTGTTGATTTAAATACTTATGAAAGCTTTCAGACAAAAATAAACTTTCAAGTTACCATGATGAAACTGGGGTTGTTTCTGTTCCTCCAACTGAATGAAGGGACGCTCAGCTCCAGGAGTCCTCCCGCGTGGAGCACCTCACAGGCACTGTGCGTGTGACCACTCAGGACCAGGCGCGGCCGGAGCCACCACAGCAGCTGGCGGCCAGGGAGACACAAGGCAAGCTGTTAGTACCTCCCGGCCAGGCAGGGCTGCTGCTGGCACCGTCTCGTCATATTGAATACTAAATCCTTACTTTGTAGGTTTTTTTTTTTTCCTTAAAATCCTTTGGTTTGTTTATACTACATCAAAAGTAAAGTCAGCCTCTTAAAACCTACTCATCTCTTCCCAGATTTTACGAATTTTTATATTTCATTTTTATAAATATTTCCATAAGTTTATATTTATAAATACATCCTGTAACTATATTTACATTTTATTATATATAAATGTAATATACGAGGGTACTTCAGAAAGTTTGTGGAAAAGTAGAATTGAAGGATAACAGGAATCTTTTTATGAATTTTCGAAGTACCGTCAAATATTACATAAATATATTTATTTAAGAAATCACGTTTTATTTATTTATGTTTCTATTAATGATTCATTTTGAAATTCTTCTAGAGCTTTTAGGCTCTTCTGTATAACTCCTACTCCTCATTATCTTCACTATTATCACTATCTCTTACTAAGCACTTTCTATGGGTCAAGCATAATTCTGATCTCTTTACATGTATTGACTCATTTAATTCTCCCCTTAACTTTATAGTGTAGGTTATGTTTATTGCTCACATTTTAGAGGTGGAAACTGAGTCCTGAAGAAGTTAAGTAATTTGCCCGGGCTCACATAGGTAGTCAAATCCTAGAATTGGGGTCTGAAGCCACTCGTAATAACTTCGTATAGCATACATTATACGAAGTTATACGACGCCGAGGGTTCGGATCCCATGTGGAGACAGGTTCCCACTCACTGGCTGAGCGCGGTGCGGGCACAACACCGAGGGTTGCGATCCCGTTGCCGGTCCCCGGTACGGGCGCGACACCGAGGGTTGCGATCCCGTTACCGGTCAGTAAAAAAGACAAAAAAAAAAGGAAAAAAAAAAAAGAAATCACGTTGTAACTAAGTCCATAAAAATTTAACTCTAAGTTCCATTCGCATTTCCAAATATATTTAAGCTGAGGGCCGGCTGGTTAGCTCAGCTGGTTAGGGCACAGCTTTGTAATGCCAAGGTCACGAGTTCAGATCCCCAAACCAGCCAGCCACCAAAAAAAATTTCAAATATATTTAAAGTTGGTGAAAAAACTTTGAATGCAAAGAACAACTGAGAATATTATTGACCTGAGATTAGGAAATAAAAGTAGATTTACTGAAATTTTAAAAAGGGAACAAAGCAATTAAATGAAACTCTGAGATATTGCCAGAACCTTGCCCTCCATTCTCCAGCTGATAACCCTGAGTCTGTGGTTAACACGTAAGTAGGTGAGGGTTACACGGTGCCATGAGGCACATCATAACCCACGGGCACACCTTTTGTGAGGCCTCCCTAGAGAGCACATCATACTTCTCCGTAAACAGGACGGTCCTCTCCTCTGGAGGAGCAGCGTCTTCCCCAGAACAGTCAGCATCACTTCTCCGATACAGTGGGTAATGCTGTCCAGGAGTGAAAGAGGAGTCAAGTGGGTTTCACAAACCCCAAGACCTCTCTGCCCACTGCGTGCTGCTCCTTTGTCCCCCATTCACCTGCAAGAGGACCGGGGTGGAGGCGGGGAGCAGCTGCACATCTCCACACTGGCTTGGACGCTGCTCCTGCTGGTGAGAAGTCAGCCTGTTAATCCACCGAGCCTGACAGTCCCCAGCCGGTGGGAAGGGAGGTGGGAGCTGAGTGATTAACAAGAGCACAGAGGGCACCTCATGGTGCCCTCGGAAGACTCGAGGACAGAAGGCACTTGCATCATCCCAATCATCTCCTACCTCTCGGGAGCAATTCAGTTTGCGAGAAATTTCAGTGAGTTCAGCTTCTGCTTCAGAACAGATGCCACAGCCATCCCCTTCCAGTGCGACACTGTTGACCATCACAAAACTGAGGCAGATGGGAGCAAGCAGAAGGTCAGGGACACGGAGTCTGCATATGTTGTTTTCTTTTGCCCGTTGTTTGCAGGGAAGGAAAACTAAGTGTCCACAGTATGGAGAAACAAGCCCAGAATAGCTTTAAATCCCAACTAGACTAATTTTATGTTTTTAAGTATGAGTTGACATTAACAAAACAAAAAAACAGCATTACTGGGAGTTGAGTCCAAGACACAGTAAAAGGATTTTTAACCCTAAACTTGTGAGAAATCCCAGATTACAGACGCTCTGAGGTCAGATTATCTGAAAGCTCAGCCTCTAACCAGAGCCATGTGCCCCTGCGCACATTACTTAACCTCTCTGTGCCTCATCTGTAAAGTTGGGCATGAGAACGCCCACACCAGCAGCTGTTGATGGATTAAATGACAGAGGCTGCCACTAGGAAGCACTCTGTAGATCTCAGACCTTGTTATGGCTACGTAGAGTGACCCATAGGGAGCATTCGGTAACTTTGTGCACACAACAAGTAAGGCAGACAGCAGGGTGCTGGTTAGAGCTTATATTTTTCAGAGACTCTCACTAAATATGCTTTTATTTCCCACACACACAACCACCAGGGCATGAAGAAGGTACCTGTCAGTAAAGACTGCTTGAAATTTAAACAATCTTAGAGATAAGGAGCTGACTAATCATATCTGCAATATGATAACTGTGTTTAAAGTTCTTAAACACTGCATGTACAGGGAAATAACTCGAACTGTGTGGTAGGTCTATGGTGACACAGGAAAGGACGCTACTCCTAGAGACGCTGCCCTCCAGGCAGAGGCAGGGAAAGGTGAGGATCTGTGGAAAACCCACTGAACTCTTGTCTCTGGACACTTTACAGAGGTGATCTCACTTGACGGCCCAGTGAGCTGCGATAGCCAAAGTCAACAGTACTGGGCCACAGCAAGGATGGGATTAAAATACAAAACTTCCTCTCCCACCTTTTTTCTCTCTACTGTGTCTACCAGAATAGAGTGTACAGCCTCACCCAGTGTGCTGGAGACACACCACGACCTGAAAGCATCCAGAGATGGACACTGAAATGGCCTCACAGAGGGGGCACTGATGCTGGTGGTCAGGCCCAGGGTTGGGATGCTCCGGTCTAAAACTCAAGGCTGAAGGAAGGGGTTAGGCACACGTGACAGAGGCACCGCAGACACACTGGCCACCAAATCCCAGGACACCGTAACTACAGGAACAGCCTTTGTAAAGTAAAACAAGTAAATTTTGAGTGAATAAAAAAGACTTCTTTTCAAAGAGGACTGACGCAATGTACACCGCCCAGAGACAGTGCAGACAGAAAGAGTATCATTGCTGCAAGCACCAGGCAGAGTCACAGACTGGCCAATTCCCTGGGGGTTGTTAAGGAAACCTGGGTGATTTGAGGTTTCCCACCTATCAACTCCCATGGTGACCATACACAAGGACAGCCTGAGTACCACTGTCAGAGAATAAAAACCAGGCCAGAGAGATCATGGGTCTTACCCAGTAGGGCAGTCAACTGTAAAAAATGAAGTTTTCAAAAGAATAAAATAAATCCATTGGTTTAATTAAATAACAAATGAGGTTTCCAAGGACTAAAGGTTTTCATAATAATTCATAAATAATACTCACTTAATTCCCTTCCAAGAAAACAGCCTTTCAGAGTTGAAAACTTTCTCAAATCGTTTTACTCTGTATGTGCTCATCCTATATTCAATTATAAAAAGAAACATTTTTCAAAACAAGCCATCTGAGAAACTCTTAGAGTTATCGTGAACACAGACAATAACTCAGGACTTGAGTGTCACACTAGCGTCATTAGTTAAGAACTCCAACTGGCCCCCGGGTGTGGAGGTTGGAATCTCAGCTCCCCCACTGACTATGAGGCCTGGGGCAAGGTACTGAGCTCCTCAGGACCTCAGTTTCCTCACTGGTATGATGGTAGAATAATAGGACCATGGTAAAGATTAAATGAGTTAATATATGGAACTAAAGTACTTAAAACAACCTGGCAGATCATAAGCACTGTGGCACTACATAAGTGTTAGCCATTCCAGTCTAAATGGTTTTGTTTTCTGATTCCCAAAGAAAATAATTGGCCATTAAATGTATGTTTCAAGTTAAATATTTCCCAAGGGCATATACAATTCATTCTTTCAACATATACTTGTTGAGGGCATACTATGTGCCAAGATAAAAATCCGTTAAGGAACTTACATTCCAGAGAAAATCAAATTTCTTCGATATACCTCAAATAAGGCTTTCACCTGAATTATAATTTTAAATTTACAGCTAACAAGAGTTCTACTTACTGATAATGGAAGCCAATGTCGTGGTTGCCAGCAACCACCTTGAGCTGCACATGACTTGGGTGTCTGAACATTCTTTGAAACCGCTTCACATCATCTGCCCAGGCCTGAGGGGAAAAGGGTCACTGCTGAGGGCAGAGAACCTTCTCTTCCTTGTGGCTAAAAAACACGATCCCTATTTTGATGTGAGAAGTTAATTCCCCTGTCTAAATCAGATGCTCATAAAGCCTACGTAGAACTTTGAATTTCTAATTCTATGCAGTGCTTCCTTTTCCAAGACTATAGTTAATACTTTAAATTATTTGATGCCAAATTTTAATTAAATGGTATCCTCCCCCATCTTAAAACATTAACTGATAATCCTCCAAAATGTTTGGTTTATACACCTATTACTTCAAGATCCCCTGAAGACCACGCATGGACCCCGGGTTGAGAACTGCTTCAGATCTGAACATGTTGTAAGAACTGGCTCTTGGAAAATGCCATGTAAATTCTTCATGTGTCTCAACCAAGACAAAGACAAGAACAACCTTCAGGTCATCCCTCCCCTGAGGCTACGACTGTGGGAATGAGAACCAATGAGATGTGAGATAAAGATAAAAGATATTTATTGTAATAAATATTCCTAGATTATTCTAACATTTGTTTTAACTATTAAAGCTTCAGAATTATGTTAGTATAGCTCTTATTTTTATAAGCCTAAAAATATCAATAGGACAAACACCCTAGCATAGGCACAAAAAAATAAAAAATAAAAAAAACCTCTGTTCTGGACAGTAATTAACTTTATCCTAAAAACTTTAAATACAGCACAACCTAGTTTTACATATGGCACAACCTAGAGAAACATGCTGGGTAGAGAGTCCTTCAATGTATATACAAAGATTTCACTTTAAAAAATAATCATTAAAATAACATAAAATCAGAATAACAAACTTAGAAACACATAAAATGTTGCCCTTAATTTGTAAAAACAACATAGACAGCCAACCTCATTTCTTAACTAGTTGCTTTTCACATACAGCACTTCCATTATTATATTTAATTATAGCCAAGATTATAACAAACATTGCAACTTTGCAAAAAGTGGGTGCCTATTATATCTGGACCAAGACTTTCTTTGTACAGCTTTTGGATTGTCCTGGGAAATGCCAATTAATTTTTAAAAATATCTCCCAAATAAAATCCCCTGCAAAAACCATTAGTGACAGAACATCTTTAACTAAGCAGCAAGAACAGCTCTTTTCTTCATTTATTCCAAGAATATGATAAGCACTCTGACAGCTAAGGTAAGAACGACCTTTCTCTTTGGTTTATAGAAAGGCCTACATTACCCAGGTAGGGGTCTTGGGCCCCCCGAAAACAGAGGAGCCTCACACCAAGTCCCCATGGCTCCTGTCACTCAGAAGGAAAATCAGAGGAGCAGCAGGCAGCTTTTGCAGCACAACTCTCATAATGCAGTGGAAAGTTAGATGTGCATTTCAGCATGCATCCTGTAATTCTGCTGACAACTGAGCGGCATCTACCTCGCCTGTTTTTCCCTTTCCCAAGAGGTTCACAGGACTGTGCATTCCAACCAAATGGTGTCTGGCTAATCTACATATCTCCCACACAGACAAACAGAAGATTAGCCAGCCTAACTCAGGATCAGCATTAGATACAAATCCCAAGAATCCTTCAAGACAGACTATACATTTCTAATATCAGCACTAAGCAAAACTTCCACCTCGAGCAGATATTGCATAATGGACTCTCCAGGCTACCTGTGTTGGCCCCTCAAAGCAGGATCAGGGCTCCTGGATCACAGGATCATACCTGGGGGGAGCTCCATTTCCCTTCATCAAAGACGTCCCCCAGGATGAAGACGACGTCTGGCTGCAACCACCACAGGGCCGTCTGGAAGGCCCTCTCCATCTGCCACTCCCTCAGGACCAACAGAGAAAGAAGTAAAGCATCAGTGTGCAGCGTGGTGGAGGCTGTTTCTGTCCTATGGGCCATTTAAACGATGAAGTAGAGGGTCCCTTCCTCCTGCCATGCCCAGCTCCTGCATTCCCACCCTCTGCTGGGAAGGGCCAGGTGACTGAGTGTGGGGAATTAAGGCACCAGAGGAGAGGGGCTGCCCCTCCCGCACACCTCGCACGCGGCTCATCACAGTGTCAGGGACAGCCCGTGCTGCACTCTGAAGCCATGACTCAGCTCGGTCAGGAGCCCTAGGACCGCAGAGATCCCCTGCACGGCTTCTAGAGCTGCCCAGTTCAGACCAATCTCACACCCCCCAGGAGATGACAGCATCCAGCTGAGGTTTCACTTCTTACAAGGACATCAACTTCCTTGCTTCAGAGTTGGAGGGAGATGATGGCAGAAACAGACTAGCCAACATCAATCAGGAAAGCCTGTGGATTTGGGACGCACAAGCAACTGTGCCAGCAGCCATGCCAACCGTGCAGCACGCAGGTAAAGCAGGCCATGACAGGCAACAGACTCAACTTGCCGCTCCGTCTGACGACAAGCCGCATGGCCTTGAGAACACTGTCTACACTCTCTGAGCCCACTTTCTTCACTGGCAAATGTGATTTTTAAAAATCTGCTTTCACAGAGGGGAGCATAGGCAGGAGCCAAGGCCAGTGCCCCTCAGCTGCCCTGCCCAGCCGCTGCTCCCTACAAAGCCAGACGCTTGTCCTGGGGCCTATACACAGGGAGGTAAATTCGGGTCAGCAGAGGCTTTTCACACTCCGAGTAAACTGCTGCTTGGCACGTGCCACCGTTTCAAGGTTTGTCACTCGAGATGCCTCACAAAACACAGTTCTCAGATTTTCTTGATTTAATGTTATTCTCCCTGGAGAGGAAAGAATCTAGAAACAGCAGCAGCAAGAAGGCATTGAAGAGTGCCTGACAGACCAGATATAAAAAAGGCCATTTGGTAAGACCCAAGCAAGGCCAGAGAAACCGCAGTCAGCTGGCCCTCTCTACCTCACGCCTCCTTTGGCTTGAAACTCTTAGTGAGAAGGGATAACAGCCCTCCATCCTTCTTGCTGCCTTCCGGCCTCTGTCATCCACCCCTGGGACATTATACATCTCACCCACCCACCCAACATCAGGCTGGTCCATACCCAAAGCACCCTGAGGATACTGGCCCTTGCAAGAATAAAGACACGTTGAGAGAGGCACATGAAACCACGGGGAGGAAAAGGGGCCCCGTACAGGTCACTAGGGACAAGGAGAGAACTCTGCTGACCCCATGGTCAGAGCCCCTATCAGTGCCTCTTGGTGGGAACTAGTCATAGCAGCTGGGGGGAAACAATCCAAGTGTCCGCCCACAGCTGAGTGGATCCGCACGCATGATATGCACATACAGGGAATATGATTCAGCCTTAAAAAGGAGAGATCCTACCACATGCTACGACAGGGATGAACATTGAGGACACTAGGCCAGTCACAAATGGACAAATACTGCATGATCCCATTCATGAGGTACCTAGATTGGTCAAATGCACAGAGACAGAAACTATAATGGTGGTTGCCGGGTCTGGGGAGGGGAGAGAATGAGGAGTTAGTGCATAACAGGTGCAGAGTTTCGGTTCAGGAGGACAAAAAGTTCTGGAGACAGATGGTGATGATGGTTACACAACTATGTAAATATATTTAATGCCACTAAACAGGACTCTTAAAAATGGTTAAGGTGATACACTTTATGTTATGTGTATTTTACCACAGTTAAAAATAATGAGGCTGGCCAGTCAGCTCAGTTGCTTGGACATGGTGCTGATAACACCAAGGTCCAGGGTCTGATTCTGCACTGGCCACCAACCCACATAAAAACCACCTGGTGGAAGAACAGATGGACTGTGCTGGGGCAGGTCTGAGGTGGAGAGACGGGATCTGCTCCCTCCCCAGGGACACATCCTCAGAGAGACGTCCCCAGGGAGACAGGCACAAACCTGCCCTGCTCCTCCTGCTGCCCAAAGGGGGGCGAAACCCCAGTGGGCTCAAAATCACACACCAGTGAAGGTGAGAGGGGACCAGCAACTGAGACCTGTGTCCTCCCCTGCCCAGGGGACCATTCCCATGGGCCAGGAACTGTGTGGGCATCTTCTTCACACAGCTGGGAGGTTTCCTCTATTAGCCCAGTTACAAAAGAGGGGACAGGGACTCAGATGGGCCCTAGTAACTTGCCCAAAGTCACAAAGCTAATCAGCGGCCCATATATAACTCCCCAATTGTGGGGCCCTGAATACAGCAGACACTCAGTAAACACTAAGTCTGAGGAGAAATGAAAGGCCCCACATGTCTTTCTCTGAGAGGAAAATAACTGAGTGACCTGAAGCCACTCAGCCTGACCCGCGGGGAGAGGGCTGTACCTTTTTGCCTACAGAATTGCCGAAGGATTCACGGTTTAACTTCTTACCTTCGTAATTTGTCCAGCCAGTGGCCTCTGACCTCCCCAAGCAAGTGGGTATCTGCCAAAAACATGGCTCTCAGCACAGGCTCAGGAGTCTCCTGTTCACTGTCATAGGCTGGAGTTTGCACCTCAGGCCAATTACACCAAAAGATTGCTAAGTAATAGACTAAAAATTCACAAAATAGAAGCACAGCAAAGACAACAGCTATGATTCTCAACAGCAGTGAACTCCTCTTCAAGAGACGGAAAGTCTGCCTTCCATGCCCCAACCTGGTCATAGCCATTTCTCTTCCCAGCTGCCAGCAACTGAGAGCCAAATCCATCCAAAATTCAACATGAGAAAACTGTGGAACCCTGGGTAGGGCAAAGATGGTGTTCAGGTCTTAGCTGTGCACCTGCAAGGAAACAAAAAAGAACTGAGTTATGTTCCTTAATAATGCGAATATCAGCACCTCCACCTATTAAGAACTAATGAATTACAGAATCCCAGATAAATTAATTGTCTAGTAGTTTTACAATGATAACACATCAGATTACTAATAAGAAAAACAATTGATTCCTTTAAGGTCTGTATACTCCGTATGCCAGAATAATGCTATTACAATGATCTTCCCACTAAGATGACAAAGTTGTATTAATATTCTAGAAATCATCAAATGAGAATCCATCAGAAGGGTGTGTGTTAAGTCAGGAGCCCATAATCACATGCAAGTGTAATTTGACTCCTAAAAGGACTCACCACCACACCTCCATGACCTTAAAAATCAAC